TTTTGTACTCCATTAGTTATCATACATTATGTTGTATGAAGTTGAGTAATATGATTGCTTCACTTGAAAATGTTTCATATTTTAATTGCAGTATTTATGTTCTTGCACTGATCTTCCTGTATTCGTCCATGATAATAATTTGTATCGTAGTATACGAATACCATTAATGTAGAATTTTGACCAAGGAAATTAAATTGGGTCTTCTACATGTTTTAATTTGGGGTTTTATTGAGTTTATATGTCGTCTTATGGTTTGAACGCAAGCTTGATGAATTCAAGGCTACTGAGGAGGATCCGATTTACGTAATCTTGAGCTCAAATTTGAGTATGTAACTTCTGATAATTTATATGTTTCTTGATTTTTTGTTAATAATGTACATTAATTTATTTTTTTTATTTCCTTTCTCTATCACAAAGTACTAACTTCCCTCATTTTCATAGATAATGTTTTAAAAAAAAAAAAATTCGGGGGCGCTGCCCCCGAACCCCTTGGGCCCCCACCCCTTCAACTCTCAGACCCCCCTACTTCGACGGGCTAGCTCCGCCCCTGACTAGTCTCTATTGTGAAATTCCATTTATTTTGCCACACCCCACTTCACTCTGTCCTCTTTGAAAAATATTGCCATTAAACCCACTCCGAAAGCTGAGATTTCCCTACAATCATAGTATTTCGTTTTATTGCTCGAATAATTTTAAGGTATTTAATTCCTAGTGTTATTGATGAGTGATTTGATCCTGAGAATGAGCATTGATTGGTTCTGGAAATGAATCAATTGTGGTTAAAAATGTGAAATGGACTGATCAGGAGGAGGTTGACATGGCGAGTGAATTGATTCAGATCAAAGATTTGCGTTTGGAGGTGAATATGGAATTGTTTTAGATGAATGCTAGTTGAACTTAAGTCGAGGTCTGGCGGTTTGAGCATTATTCAAGGGCTTAAAATGCAATGATTATTGATGTTGAGAAGAGGAGACAGTTTGAGAGCATGGTGTCTGTTCTTGAAGAATCGACAGGAAGGATCTTCTCATGATGGAAACATTTATTATGGTGATCGAAGCATTTGTTTCTGTGAAGGAGAGGAAAATGACCGTTGGGATTTTCATCGATGGAGAAGTTTAATATACTAAAGTTGTGGAAGACGTGGATCATACTCTTTGCTGGGAAATCCTGGGGATTGGGAAAAGAAGCACAGGCTTTCTTTGAGAAATTGGGATGTAGGTTCATGCTGAATTCTAGGATTTATAATGTTCCGCTCAGTCTTTGGCGCAGGGTGAAGATTTTATTGGAGTCATGCGGGAGGTGAAATAGGTTGATTGATAAGGGTTTTAGGCCTGATGTTGTTGTTCAAAACACGCTGTTCAATGGGTCGTTAAGGTTTCAAGAAAATCTCTGATACAATCCAGCTGTTCAACTTGATGAAGGCTACAGGTTTCTTTCCCAATCTTGATTAGGGACTTCTGCAAACAAGGTAAGATGAAGGAAGCCGTTGAGTACTTAAAATGAAATGCTTAGTTATGGATGAGTGTCGGATGCTGCATTATAGACTTGTTTGATGATGGGATTTGTGAATCAAAAGAAGATCGAAAGGGTGTATAAGTTGGATGCATAATAGACTTGTTTGATGATGGGATTTGTGAATCAAAGAAGATCGAGAGGGTGTATAAGTTGTTGAAGAATACGAAGGAGAAAGGACCCTATCACCCCAGCCTGATGCTCAGACGTGCAATGCTCTGATCAAGATGGTGGCGAAATTGCGAATGCGGTCAGGATATAAAACAAGTTGAACAATCAGCGGGCATTTAGTTGACCATTTTACATTTGCAACGAGACGATGAAGCCATACTAAATCGCAGGAAATTACGGGTTTGGCAGTTTTGGAGGAGAGGCTGTTGCTCCAATGTGACACGTTAAATAGTTAAAAGGAATGGTAGAAAAAGGAATGAAGGAACCTCAACGTGATTACAAGAAGTTCGTAGCTGATTTTTCCTAGGCTGTATTGAGAATTCAATATAGAAGCCACCAGTAAAAGATTAGCATCCGAAATTGGGACGAATCGACCCTCTTAGTGCTGATGGACTATATGCCTGATTCAATTGCTTAAGCAGATGCCATTTTGGTCTTCAAACTGAAGATAACCATGAAATCGCTCAGTTGTATTTCTGTTACCTAAATACGTTTATCTCTATTATTTTGTAATTATAAGTATATAAGATTTGTTGTTGTGAACTAGTATCATGCAATGTGAGTATGAAACTTTTGAGGGCTGATTTGTTAGTTCATTTCTCAATAAATGGAAGAATTCTGTGTAAGAAATACTTTCATGCATCAAAACAGCTGACATTTAAGCTGCTACTCAGTATTATCTATTCCCGAAGTTGGACCTGACTGCTTGGTTCGACCGGAATTCAGACCGTTAAATAAGTCACCAAACTGATGGGTTCATATACAAAACTTTTCTCACGCTCAGGGACGGATTCAGGACCGAACTACAGGGGGGCTAATACGTAAAAAAAAAAAAAAAAAAAAAATTACACATGAATTTTTTTTTTCACATAAATTTTTGTTTTGGGGGG